TCAGATCTGACTGGTACAGGAGGAGATTGTTCCTCCTTTTCCCGGCAGAGCATCTGGTGGATTCGAACCGTGTGCCTGTGGGATTGTAGTTGCAGTTCCTTGCCACTAGGCCACCAGAGCTCCCCATGACTACTTTCTTTTAATCATTATATAATTAAATGTTATATTTGTGGTCCCTAAGCACCATGAATATTGCTGAAGGAAGGGAGAAGGCTTTTTAAAATGAGCTTTTATTTCTTAGTACACACCTCATTTATTCTTAGCTATTCTTTTTCTATGAAATTTTCTACTTGTGTGAGAGGTGGCATAAAAAACTCTTTTGTTTTGAGAATCTCACATTTACTTATTCATGACTTGGATTCTAACTACATTTCCTTCTGATCATCTCCTGTCTTGGAGCATCTCTGCCACTCCACTGCTTCCATGTCTGTACATATAATACAGGACACAAAGGTTGACTCTGCAGCCCTTTTCTGAGTGCGAGGAAGCTAAGAGGCAAATAACACCGAAATGAGATTTGATTAGCTTTCCTCTTTCTAGATCTCTCGAGTCAGTAACTGCAGATATTAATTTTTAACTGTTGGTCCATGTTGTCAGAAACAAAATGCATCCCCTTTTGGTAGCAATGAAGTTTTAGAGGATTTGATAGCCATCAGTTTGGGTTTTGTTTTGGTGGTAGATAAGAATTATTTCATGTAAATATTTTAGTGGATTTTTATTCTAAAAGGGTAAAGGAGATTTAGGGGAAAAATAGTTTTAGCTACTTAGCTTCCTTTAACTTCTAAGTCATTTGACTAATGTTTATTTTTACGTTGCTGATCATTGTACTTTTTTCCTTATTTTTTACCTTGTGCTTTTCTTTTTTTTTTAAATTTATTATTAATTTCAGTAAAAATTTACAGAGACTTTGGATTTCCATTCATTCATGGTTGCACTTTTCCCCCTTTCCAACCCCTCCCCCCAGTACACTATCCTCTTGGAAAAGTAAAAGAAAAATTCTTTCATTGTTTTACAAACCCTCCCCCAGGTCCACTCCACCAAGTAGCCTTCGCTGTAGACTCCTGTCATGACAAAAATACCTAATCACACATCCCTTTTAAACAGTTTTCTCCCTCATCTGTTTCAATGCAGTATATGTTATTGAAACCATCTTTCTCAATATCTCCCCAATCCCAAGGTCAGTCCTGTTTTACAACAGTGGCACCATGCAGTATTTGTCCTTTTGTGACTGAGTACTTCCCTCAGCATAATGTCCTCCAGAGTCACCAATTTTGAATAATATTGCATGAGTTCCTTGTTTTTCAACGCAGCGTAGTATTGCATTGTGTCAATATACCACAGCTTCTCTATCCATTCATTTGTTGATGGGCACTTAAGTTGTTTCCAACTCCTTGCTATTGTGAACAAAGCTGCAAAAACATGAGTGTGCAGTTTTTCCCTATTTTTATAATTTAATTTAAGCTGTGTTTTGCACTATTTTGGTTTGACTTGCTTTATCAACTGAGTTGATTTTCAACAAAATTTTCAATAAATCCATCACATCTTGGTTATTAACTATGGACGTAACTTTTGTGTCCCTTAGTCTATAGTTTCGTGTGATCAGAATGTGTTTAGCTTGACTTTAGGATTTAATGTGAGTGTTCTGTGCTGCCACAGAAATACTTGATAATAAGCCTATGGCAGATGGAACAGCAGCTCAGACATTTCCTTCTTTATCACTACTTTTATCCACAGTGGATAAGCTTCTTTTCTATTGCCTGGTTAGAGTCTGTTAAGTCTTTACCTTCTTGTCTTTCAGAAAACCTCAGTGAAATCCTTTTGGCTGGTAAAGCATTCTGGCTCCAAAGCTAACTAACGTTCCTCCTGTTTTCCTTTTTATTTTACATTACTTCATCTTACTGATAACATGCCAAAATATTATCAGTTGACGTAAACCATCCAGCTGACTCTGTTGGCCATGAACATAGCTGAATGACTTAGGTGGTAGAAATAATATACTTTGTTCTCTGGATCACCATAAATACAGACTGATTTCAGAAAACTTATCCTTGGCCTTTGAATTCTGAGAAGACTTGCCATGTTTAACAAGCTCAATAGTTTTTTTTTTGTTGTTGTTGTTGTTCTGTTCTGAACAAACTAAATCCAAACTAGACTATTACATCAAATCAATTCCAACAAGACCCTGTAGGACGTGATAAAACTGCCCCATATGGTTTCCAAGATTGAAAATCTTTATAGAAATAAACTGCCACATCTTTCTCCCCTGGTGGATTCAAACTACTTACCTTTGGGTGAGCAGCTGAGCTTTTGAATCACTTGTACTGCTAGTCTTCGTTCTGAACTAATTGCTGTTGTTGTGTGCTGTGGAGTTGAAACCATCTTATTGCTGACACACCAATAGATTTACAGAGGCTTAAAATCACATGGTTGTGAACCACGTTCTTTAGGGTTGACACAACAACTTGTTAGGCCACCAAAGCACCCTCTGAACAAACTAGCTGAATTTTGTTTCAGCCTGAGATGACTTTGTTATATATGTGAGGACAAGTTCCAGAGAAGGAAAGTATTTTTTAGTTTATCCTAGATAAATAAACCCATTTCATCTGATGGTGAAACTATAGTTTGACCTAAGTCACAGATAAAGGAGGTTAGACTTTATGTAATATCTCTAACCTGGTAAGTTGTTTTGATGCCTCTGAATTGGGAAAGAAGAAACAAGAATATTCATGAAAATGACCAGAGAATGATTTGTTCTGTGACGCAATCCTAACTTCAGCTTGCTTTGAGCTCGGTAAAGGAAGTGGAATGGCCTTACAGGAGTTTTTCAATTTAAAGAAGCTTGAAGTTGGGAAATCAAAAGAGGAGAAGGTGGTGATTTTCCACCACCTGGCTATACAGTAATTAGAGCCTATTTTGTATTTGTTCTTTAAGGATGGGGTGTATCTTCAAAGGGGAAACCTACCGTGTCCAAATTGCAATTAATACCATTTTCCTCCTGAAGCAAGTGCTGCAAGTTTTGTTTTGTTTTTCTCTTTTCTATGCTTCAATAGGTAGTCTTCTTTTTTTTTCCGCCCCCCTATTGCCCAGTTGTTAGGATATCAGAACCAGAAAGGTACTAGACTAAATTTCTACTAGGCCCTCCTTATTATATAGATGAGTATTATCAAGGTTTTAATGTCTAGGGTTTATATTGGGGCCTGAGAAATAATTGGCAAATGGGAAAGATGACAGGGAAATAAAACTGTTTCTCAAAATTAGAGCCTGAATTCTGAATTTAAAACACTCTGTCTTTAGACACAAGCCCCCTCTACTGATTCCTTCCTGTTTCATGCAAGGGGAAATAAAATAACTCTGTGCTTCCTGGGATGTTAGGTTAAGTCTAACATTTCTGTGCTCTAGTGACAGTAAAAAACCCTTCAGTGGATTAAGCTGCCTTACTGTTATTTGACCATTTTTGTTTACTTAGTTATTTGATGCTTGACTGTTTTTTGTGGTAGAGGTGCTAGGATTGTTGTTTTGAGTTAGCTTTTGCTGAAATCCTTTGCTGCTTTTGCTGTACCCAAAGCAGAGTGAAATCAAGTGGAGAAACATGCTTTCCCAGCTAATCTTTGTTTGCTTGGTTTTTAAACATTTTTTTTTTTTCATTTCACTGAAGCTTTAAGCTTTAAAAAACTAACAGTTATTAATATTGTTTCTACCTTTTTAAAGATAAAAATTATTGCATTTTTTAAAAAAAGGAAACATTAAGGCAAGAAACAAACAAACAAAAAATTATTGCATGACCTGGTCACTTCTGTAGACCTACCTTTGGACTGTTAATATGTCTTCTGAATCTGGTAGGAGTAGTAAAATCAACCTGCCACTCTCCTAGGAATGTTCTAAGCCTAGTTTTTATTTTGGCGCAAAGCCATTTGCATTCTTCCACCCAGCTATTTTTGGCACTGTTATGAACTTGGAAATGAATGATTCTGCTCGCTCAGAGTAGAAAACTTTGTTCTTTTCCATTTTAGAAAAGCTTTTATATTGTTTCTGGGTACTCTTGCCCTCTAGTTTAT